TGACATGACATCTTGCACTGGCTGATTTATGGTTTTGGAGGTGAAACTAATTTTCCAAAGTCAGAATCTTGGAAGTTAACAAGGGAGACAAAGAACTTTTTCCTCAAATGTGTACTCAGCATCTTTGTGAACTTAGAAATCATATACCATCATGCATAGTTAATATTAGAAATAACTTTTCTACAATAGTAGAAATAACTATATCTACCAGAGTGTTGGGCAGCTGCTTAAGGGGCAGACTTAAAGCTGAAAATCTATTAGATGAAAAGCAAAGTTTGTTTTTGTTTTAACATTTGGCAAACACATACACACAAACGCACCAGTATCATTTGATATGGGATACTTTTGGTTGAAATATTCTACTTCTGATTCCTATTCTATAAATGCAGAACCCAATACATTCAAGCTGTTATGTGGTGCTGGATGCAATAAATATAATCAGAATATTTACAGATGCATTACAGCAGGAAATATTCCTAATTTTACACACAGGAATTTCCTGGATTCAATATGTCATTTGTTCCTGGCAAAGTCTATCCTTTGTCTGCATATACTTCATGTTTTCTGCAAGCAGTGAATGTTATCTTACGTAACTGGAGGATATATTTGTGCCAATTTTATATATTCTGGCAATAATGACTAATTAAACATTTAATCTTCCAACCTGAACTCTAGGTACGCGGAATTTATTTTACCAAACACAATTGAAATGCTAGTATGCTTATGCACATGGCATGCTTAGATATTTATATATAATAAGCCTTGGCTTTTTTTTAGTAGGGGAAAGGTAAAAGAGAAGAATTTCCAAGGAGTTTCAAACATTTTAAAATTCTAGATTCTCTTACAAATAAGTATTAGCTTCTGAAGCCCCTTAATCTGTGTATATGTGGATTATACACTAGAATACAAAAGGTAACATTTCAGAATTCTTTCTTTAGTTTCAATTGTAGGTGATATAAAAAAGTTCTGATGGTGTTCCTTGAAACCAATGGTTTCATTAAATTATGTTAGAAGCTGGCTTAGCATGTTCTCTGAACCAGGCAAACTCTTTTATAACACCATCACCTATACCTTAGTGTGTTGGATGAACCCAATTAATTATAGTTTAGCATACAAATCATTTTTAAGGAAACCATGCTGATCAGCATGTGCAAACCTCAATTCTTAGTTCTTTTATTCAATCTCAGATCTACCTTGAAACTCCCTGCTGCTATTACACAGTACTAGTTCCAAGTAAGAGGTTAAAGCATTATCAGCCAACGATGACTTTTAACTGAGTTTTAGATCAGTTCATTCCAACAGATTATACTAAATCTACACAGAATAATTATTGAATCAACTAGCACTGACCAAAGAAAACAAATACGGGCAGCTGTTATTATTTGGCTATTCAGAGCATTAGTGCAGTTTTAGAAGCAAAATTATTAAAGGATTTCTGAAAGGATTAATATTATAAGACAACAAAACTTGCTTTATATAAATATTTTTCACTGAATTTTGAAAGATTGCATTTCAATGAAAAAGGAAGGAAGCTGAAAGTCTATTGTTTCTTTAACTGTCCTTTTCTGGATTACCTGAATATTTAATATTGGAGGATAGATCTTCTTGCCTTCTCGAACATAGTGATTTTAAAGTTTAGGATAAAATAAAAACACATTTTAAGGAACATCTCAGGAAACTTTTGCACTAATTCTCTTATAGAAAGCAAGCAAGGACATCTTTCATATTATGAACAAGTTATTCTGATATGGAAAATTAAAAAGTGAGAGATCTGGATTCAGTATTGTTGACCAAACCAGGTCTATATGCATGTAAGACAAATCAAGAAAAGATTACTGTAGATCACTCTATGTGAAACCTAGATGTATTGTTTTAAACTGTAACACTGCATGGAAAACAGCTGCATGCAAAGACTTGATTCCACACCCAATTAATTCCTTTTGAATCAAATCTCTATCCCTTGTGGTGGCAGTTCCTCATTCCAAAATGAAATGATCCATAGAGAATAAGGTTGTTAAGTTATGATGCCTATATAAAATGTCCAATATTGGAAGGAGGTATTTTACTTAACATCAGATATTGAGCACCTCAAGTAAGTTGTGCTATAATACTCAAATCTTGGTGGGAAAGTATTCTAGACTAAATAGGTTTGATCCTAGAGGATTCTTAAGCTAATTATTGACTAACAAATTGCATTTAAAGTATTGTAAGAGGGTCAACACCTAACAACCAAGTTTTAAATACTACAATACAATAAATTCTACTATCATTAATTGTGATATCTTTTCTATCAACTATTTCTAATATAACAAAGTACTATGACATCCTCTTTTGCTCTTATTTCTTTAACTGAAAAAACCAACACTATATTACTGCATTTTATACTTGAGAAAAAGATATTCACCCATTATTGCATACAATTATAAACAAATAGAACTTTCCCATAAATCAAACATTATAAATATATTAAAAACAGACTCCAAAATAGATGATAGGTTTCTCTTTCTTAAAAATTATCATGATAGAAAATGACCCAAACTGTAGCACCTGTAGTACAGGCAATCCTCAACTTACAACAGCTTGTTTAGTGACAATTCAAAGTTACAATGGCACTGAAAAAGTTACTTCTGACCATTTTTCATACTTAAGATCATTGTGGCATCTAAAAAAGCAAAACATAAGGGTCTTCCTAATCTCATTATGTTGATAGATATAGAAATACTATATTAATGTCTAAACAGGATATCTAAAGTAAGTTGATACAGGATTGCAAAATTTTTATTTTAGTAGGTTCCAAATATGAAGATTTATTACTTGTTTATATACTTGCAAAAAATCCCTGCAAAATTTCACTAAAGATTCTACCCTAGCTTCTTTCAAATTCCATCATAATACCTGTTATGCATAGGCATTTTTTTTATAATTAGTCATCATGTACATTTGAACCTCATATTATTACATATCAGACATATTACTCATCTAAAGAAACAGTATGATTAGAACTACTGGGACTCCACCCATGAAAATTCTAAATGAATCTTCCCATACAACTATCATATCAGCAAGAACATAGCATAAATCATAGACACGAACACAAAGGAGTATTCTGTTACTGATGAACAGCCTTGTATTATTTCTGGACCATTTATAACATCTAAAAATTACAAAAGCTAAAACCATCATAGTTGGGAATAAACAACTCTTTCCTTTTAAAAAATATATATATTCCAAATCATATTTTCAAACCTATAAAAAATTAGGCCAGGAATTACTGTGACCTGAGATGTAATATATTTAAAACCACATGCAACCAAGGTTGCAACAATCTTTAGTGGAAATTAAGTTCTGTTGAATTCAATATGGCTTATTTCTGACTAGGTAGGCAACGTGTTTTATCCTTGGAGTGGAGAAACTTCTGCCTTAGTATATTCTTGTTCTCCAATTTTGTGCCATGCGAATACACTAAGACAGAAAGAAGCTTGTCCACCCCAAGCATAAAACACCCGAACACAAACTGAGCAATGTGACATATGTAATACAGATAGTCTTTGACTTATGACCACAATTGAACGAAAAAATTTGTATTGCTGAGATGTTTGTTAAATGAGTTTTGCCCCATTTTACAATCTTTCTTGCCATAGTTGTTAAGTGAATCATTGCAGTTGTTAAGTTAGTAACACAGTTGTTAAGTGAATCTGGCTTCCCAACTGACTTTGTCAGAAAGGTTGCAAAAGGTGATCACATGACCCTGGAACACTGCATCTGTCATACATATGAGTCATCTGCCAACCATCTGAATTTTGATCACGTGACCATGGGGATGCTGCGACGGTCAAAAGTGTGAAAAATTGTCATAAGTCACTTTTTCAGTGCTGTTGTTACTTTGAACAATCGCTAAATGAACTGTTGTAAGTTCAGGACTACCTGTACAATGCAGTGAGATAAGTGCATATCTGTACATTGGAGAAACAAAACAACCACTTCTCAAATGCATGGCACAACACAGGAGAAAAAATCCTTCAGGACAAGATTCAGCAGTCCATCTGCATTTGAAAGATAGCGGTCCACATTGGTTTGAAAGAGGGGTAAAAGAGGTCATCTATGTTAGAACTGAACAGTCCTCCCTCAACAGAGGGGGAGGAATACAACACCACCAATCTCCTGTCTACAACACAGTCCTTTCAGTAGTTCCAAGAAGATTCCACTCCCATTTGCACTCTGATTCAGGTCACCCTGAGGGCACAGATAAACTCCCAAGTGGCTCTCAGACAGAGTGCTATTGAACAGATGACTGCAAAGAATTATGATCTTTCCATCCCACTTCTCACCATCCTCTCATAACTAATCTTTCTATCGTCCTCCACCATTTAGTCAGAATTGATCTTCTTTGATGAGAAGCAAAACATCTTCCTCCTCAAGAAAAAAACAGTATAGTTGCCTTTTGAAAAAGCACCTTTGAGACAACCATGACCTGGATGACTGAGAATCTCCACAGACATTTACCCATTTTGAATTTCTATTTTACATGCAATTTTGATATATTCTATATACTCTTGAATTATTTAGAAGGGTCTACATATTCTAAATTAAGTTCTAATTTCAAAATTAACTTGGATACCATATAGGATGAATATTGTCTTAATGGCAATATTTAATAGTCCTAAAAAAATTATAATTGTACTAATTCCCAGTACAAAAGACATTCTTTTTGTTTTTCCTTTTTGTGTTCCAGAAATCAATGCATACATGTGGCACCATGCCCATCCACTCAAATACTTAAGTCACACACCTATGCCTCTGGAGATGGATGTTTGAATGCGTAGGAGGAAAAGCTCAAGCACAGAAGGGTTAGGCTGGCAATATATTCACTTAAACAAACTATTCCATATATGTGCTCTAATACTCAGATTATCCAAATGCCTTTGCTTAAAATTCTCATTCAATCTACACAACTAATCTCAAACATAGTTGATTACATTCTCTCCCCCCCTCTTCCTCACCTGACCACGTTAGGATGCTCAAATGTTTCCAGATGCTTCAAGACTGCCACCTCGCGTATAGTGGAAAGCGGCATTCCTTCCTCGCTGGTCTGCACCCGCACCCTCTTCAGTGCTACAAAGCGCCCTCCATTCTTCAAGTCTCGAGCCTTGAACACTTTCCCATAGGCTCCTTCACCAATTTCCGCCACACATTCATACTGCTGGTCAGCTAGGCTCATGTTGTCCTTATCCATGACTTCACGGCTTTCCTTCTTCACAAATTGTTGCCTGATGTTCTAATTGTTGAATCTGTTGACCTGGATTCCAATTGCCAAAATGCCTTTTCTGCTACTTCAACAAGTATTCAGAACAATTACTGATGGGCCAGTCAACATTCAAGAACTGTAGTAATAAACTGTGGTTGTTTTATTGCTTAGCTGGTGAATGGTCTTTGGAATAAATCTCTGTGTAAACCCAATTCAATCTATAAAACCAAAGTGTGTGAGAGAGAGAAAAAGAGAGAGAACGAGAGAGAGAGAGAGAGAGAGAGAACATATTATTTCTCCATCACAGAATATCTTTTCATTTATTATTGCAACTGTTCACTTACTTAATACATAATATCACAGCATTAATTTCACTACTTAGTATGCATTATCAGGCTACGTTCCCATTATTAGCATTAATATCCCATTCCCTATATTAGTAATTTTGTCTTTCAAAGAATGCTCATTTTATTTTCTCAACAAAATTGACAAGTAAATTGGTCTCAGAGACAATAGTTGGAATTACCTATTACACTAAACCAAGGGTAGTTTTAACCAGTTATGTTTATATTATCAAGTTGTAACTGGATACACATAATGTATTAAGCCAAACAAATTACAATATGACACAACTCATTCTTTGAACTTCTTCACTGAATAGGTCACAATCTATACATTCTAAACTCCCTACGTTAAGACTGTCATTACTGAGTTAAGTCTCAAAAATTTACTAGTAACCAATCTTTTAAAACTGAAGGTTTCTATTTCTATTAGCAAAAATTTCCAAGCCATCTTCAAGGACAGAGTATATAATCCATTGAGATGCTCTTCAGATTTATAGACTTCAACCTCTAAAATTTCTCACCAAATAATGGCTTTTCTGAGAATTTTGCTGTTACTGAGATCTCTGTGAATCATGTCCACATATCTAGAGGGAATCCAAACTGGGAGAAAATCAGTAATATAATTGGAGAATTACTATTGACAGCAACAGCCAGATAAGCAAAGCTGCAGCCAGACAAAATAGAAAAGAAATGGGTTTGGATAAAGGCTGGGGACTTTTCAGCTTCCATTTGCGCAGTTAGCAATGTGCAAGACAAAGCCAAGATATAGAAGAAATGCATTTTTCAATATTTCTAAAACTGGTCATATTTGAATTTAAAAAAGCCGATTCTTATATATGTCCAAAGAGACATCTGATACTTTAGAAGAAAAGAAACTCATATATACGGATTCATCCAAAGGGTGATAGAAGATTCCTAAATGTTCATCTTAAAACAAGGTGATAATCTCACTAAGCACAATGAATGCTTTCTATGTGTAAGATGTGTCCCACTGAAATTACCAGGCTTAAAAGTGCTTTCTTCACATCTAGTGAGTAATAGTAAAATAGGTAAATAGTAGAGTTAATTTTTAATCAAACCCAAAACAAATTTAATAAATCCAAACCCCATAATATTTATGCCTAATCTTTTACTAGATAGACATGTAAAAGATCCAGTATGTGAAGAATTCACAAGACAATGTGGGAATGATTCAACAATGAAAAATCAATGCATGGTTGAGAGAAGTAAGCTTTATATCCACTGATGTCATCTACAATCAGTGATAAATTATGACTGGCTACAGCAAATTCAACCTTCAAGTAATAAGGAGTGACAAGGGCTACAAAACCTGTCTATATACAGATCACCAACTTCTCTGCATTATCACTAATGAGCAACCAAAGTATCACCAAGAATCAAAAACTCTTTTAATTTTGCTGGAAGTAAATGCCAAAAATCAGTTGATTATGAAAAAACGGATTCTTTTAACATAATTTCAAGATTATTAAGATAATTGCTAATATTTTATAGATAAAAAAATGAAACTAATTCAGTAAACTACAGAAAAGACAATGGGTACATTTAGATAACAGTAACCCAGAATTTTTAAAGTTTCTTGAAGAAACTTGCCTCAAACAAAACATTAAATTGAATGTATGCTTGAGCATGAACCAGGCCTATGGTTCATATGAGTGTTGTGTAGCTGAGTTTATTAACAACAGAATAATTGATTTTACACTCCAAACTTTAGCCGCTTAGCTATCCCAAAGATATTTTCTATTATTGAACCTCCTTTTCTCATCCTCCTACTTAATTCTCTACTTCTGCCATTGTGGCTATGTAAACCAAAAACTTATTTGCAATGTGGGTTGCTGTGGATTAAGTACATCTTATTAAAACACTCATGTTCTTTACAAAGTTTGTGCAGATGGTTAAAAATCCTCCCATCTGAAAGTACATTTTCTGGGATTACTGGTGAAGAAAAGAAACCAAGTATGCATATGTATTCTAGGAGAAGACTGATTTCAAATAGCCACACAAGCCTTTTAAAAGGTGTGGATGCTATAATGTCTTAAGAAATATGCTCTATTTGTGCTAACTTACTACAAATTCTTCATAAAGCTCTATTGCCTGTATTTGTCTTCTACATAGATCGTGAATTAATCTAAAAATTTCTAATCAATGAAGACAACTGGCCGGGAAGACATATCTTTTTCAGTATACTAGAATATGCTAGGTTGGACAAGGCTTGCCTTTTGGTGATTGTTATACTTTGGTTATTTTTCTTATAAAGTGTTTTCCCATTATGCCGTCTTTCTTATTTCCCTAATTACTCCAACCATCCTTATTATTTGTGCTACAGCCTAGTTTTCCTTTTAAAATCTTATGTCGTTTTCCATACCTTTCACAGCTTTCTATTTCTCCCATTGATTTTTCCCTCCTGCCCATACTTTTTCCTAAGCTTTCCTTCCCTTTTCAACATTAAACTCTTTTTCTAATAGTTTACTCAAGAATTATGAAGTTCAGTTTTTTTCAGGTTTTATGCATGTTTCCTACACTGCAATATGAGCTTTTAATCTGCATATTTAAGCTCTCTGCTTGTCCTAACTCCACTAGTGACAACTTTTTGAGCAGTTGAAATAGTATGAATAATACTATTCCCTAAATGACTATTCAAATTTACTAAGTTGAAGAATGGAGATTATTTTCTGATAAATATGGAAATGTGGTAGAAGTATCCATGACATCACTACTTATGATTTCCACAATGTATGGGAAAACAATATATTGTATGAAAACGAATAAATTTAGTATGACATGTGCCAACCTTAATTAACATATGCTAGCTTTTCCCAACCAATGTCCTATAAGCATTTCTGAAGGCATGCATATTTGCATCATTTATTTTGGTACTTTAAAAAAAGATCACTGACAGTTAAGACATTTGTCTTCTTAAGGAAACTCTATTATCTTTAATTTTTAAATAAATACCTTACAGATAATTCTTGAAAAGGAAAAAGACCTTACCTTCTTTTTATATCACCCTATATCATTTTTCTCTTCTTCCAGAATTACTGATTTGTAGAATTATTATAGTCCTTATTAAAGTCTACAAGTACCTCTCTCAGAACTATGATTTAAAGGATGTTTGAAAACATTGGTGTTAACTAAGCTAAAAACTGTACAGATTTGTTTTGAAATTGTGATTTCCAGGTCTGTTGGGCTACAATTCCCTTGATCCATGACAATTTGCCTATACTCTTTCTTTTAAACATATTACAAAACATTATGAAAGAAGGTTTTATATTTTCACAAGATTATTTTAATATGGACGTGGTCTCTGGAGAAGATAAATAATTTGAAAACAACATAAGCTTGTAAATATATCTTACAAGTGAGCAAACATTTAGTAAATTAAAGGTAGGAAAATTTACCTCAGAAATATACAGCATTTTTATAGCTAGCAGCAACAGACTATAAGTTCACTGAGGAAAGAAGATGCAATCCAAGAACAACAGTGGGCAAGTAATGTCACACAAAATGAGCAGAGCTCCACCATGCATGTTTCCCACATCTGCAGTATTTTCTAAGTTTTGTGTTTCTTGCTTATAAAATGGTAAGAAATGTTACCACCAACTTACAGCAATACTATCAGAAAAAATGGTTTCCCTTCTGTTTTTACTGGCCAGAAAACAATAGTCTTAAGCAGGTAAAAGGCTTTCCCTGCCCAGTCGTGTCCAAGTCTAGGGGGCAGTGGTCCGTTTCTTATCCGAGGGAGCCAGTATTGCCCAAAGACATTTCCGTGGTCATAAGGCCAGCATGACTATATGTGAGGTGCACAGAACGCTGTTGTCATCCCACCAAAATGGTACCTATTTGTCTACTTGCATTTACATGCTTTTGAACTGCTAGGTGAGGAGGAGCTAGGGCAGGGATGAGAGTTCACCTGGTCAGATGGTGCTTGGGTCTTGAATCGAGGTTGTCAGCTTTCCAGCTGAAAAGAACAGCTTCTTTAACCTCTTCTCTTCAGCAGGTAACATAGTGCAACTTATTTTTGAGTATACACCTATAGTAGTGTATGTATCAATGAACTAGAAGAGAGTGATATATGTAAAACAGTATTCTACATATATAGGATCAGTAAAAACCCTGTATCGTCTCTTAATAAATCTGCAGTAACCTTTTGTTCATTTTTTATGATATGCAGCAGTCTTTTGTGATCCAACAGTTATTGATTCATTATAGCATTGAAAAAAGTTTCAAAATAATGGACTGGGAATACCTTAAGCACTGGAAATATGATACAAATTCACTCAAGAAAATAAGAAATAAATAAATCAGGAGCTATCAGCATAATAGTTGCCCCTTAGCAATTCACACATTTTTAACCTGCAATCACTTGGCAAGTTGAATCACTATTCAACTTGCAATTCACACATTTTCAGCTTGCAATCACTTTGCAATCACTATTATCTCCAGAAACAAAGCTACATTCTGTCTTTGCACTATTTTATATTGTGATAAGGTCAGTGGTCTCAACTCCTTGTAGTGTTATACCCAATGTTACAACAATTCATTGGCAAGGAAGACAATGACTTGAGTAATACATGAAATGCCACAGATAAAAGCAACTATCAAGTTTTTTCTGCTCATAGACTAAAAGAAAATATGAATAAAAACCTCTAAGCAAGAAGCCTGGTTACACCTGAAATATCTGCAAATGATTCAGAAGATATTTACTGTGATGTTGGCCATAGTGTTTTATGAATTAACCCCTTTCATATAGATAGATATAATGTGCTTTATTTGGTGCTGCCCTAATGGTCAGCTTCATAAACTATAACTAGCGTCCATTTGTTTCTGGATATAATTCAAGATGCTGGCCTGTACTTGCACATTCCTAAACAAATTGAGGCCATATTTGAAACATCATCTTCTCCCAAAGGAATCTGCTTAAAGATCAGTTTCAAGAGGTTCTTCTATATTTCCTATCACTAGAAAGTTCACATTGATAGAAACACAATATAAGGACTTTTTGCAGGAGTCATTGTAAACTAACACATTCTCCTTCCTAGGTTAGAGTGTTCTTCATTTATTTTTGGGAATATATATTTATTTTGGGTTATTCAAAAATATTTTGTTTAACTGGGCATTCAAATGCTTTTAAACGTTTTGGGTTTTCTCCCCTTAAATTTGCTATCTGCTTTAAAATGTGCAAATTGTTGGGTAAGGGAAAAATCCCAAATAAGAAACTCAGATAATTTTATAAAGACTTTCCTTACTATTGCCAGCAAAGTTTTTGGGTGTTAGTGCCTGCAGATTTTCTGTTTCAATTAAGATGCTTTCTCTCAACAAAGTTGTTCAGGAAAAGTAATACTTTTACTTTCTCGGCTATATAATTCTTAATTATGTATATATAGTAGATCAAAGGATGTATGAAATTTGAATTCCACTAACATTAGTGGAATTGGGAAGAAATAAAGTCCATAACTGTCCAAAATAGCCATTTTTTTCTGCGCCAGATATAAACATTCAGAATTTTCAAAGTTCTAACCTTGGCTTGTTAACAAATTGAGGATTAGTTTTAAACCAATTCTCAATTTACATACAATAATAAATCTGGAGTTGCACTGCATTCTGGTTTCTATTCTTACACAGAAGAACATGAAAAAGAGGACACACAAAAGGGCTTTTCCAAAAGGTAACTGGGCAAGAAAGTCCAGTTGCCTTTTGGAAAAGCACCTTTGGGACAATTATGACATGGATGATTAAAAATATCCATAGAGATGAAAGAGAGCAGTATCTGAATTTCTCACTTTACATGAAATCCATCCAATTTGTGCATGATACAAAATCACATCTCAGTTCAGCCACCTCACATTTTCCAAATATACTGGATTACAGGACCCATCATTTCCAGCCAACACATGTAATGATACAGATAAAAGGGAACTTTAGCATTTATATGAACAGTTTTTCATTTCTCAGAGTCAACTAGACAATAATTATGGGTTGGATTTTTTTTTTTTTTAAAGTTAACACCAAGAGGGGAAGAAGGCAAAGAAGTGTAATTTGTCCTTCCTAGACTTCAACCCAACAAAAAATAGATCACTCCACAATCCAGAAATAATAGCTAACTATGCAATAAATTTAATATTTACTTTGCCTATTTAATATTATGATTTATTTTAACTATTTACAACATAAATCTGAGTTCCATTTCTAATTTTCACAATTTCTCTTACTCAAAATTAGCAATTCTGTTCTGGTACCAAATAGGAGAAAGCTAGTCTACAAAAGAGCAGCAGTGATTCTCTGTGGTTTTTGGCAGGAATTGTTGCCAGTCATAACTGGACAAACCAGAAATTAAAGATGGGAACTTTAGCATGCCTAAAGGAATTTGGAGTACAAAGTCTGCATGTTGTGCTGCTAAAACAGAGGACCCCAAATTGGGAGAAGCAACTCTGAAACTCAAGGGTAGCTGTGGATCTTTTGGAATGAGGGGCAGGCACTGTTCATATGCTAAAAAGCTGTCATCCTTTTGTCCGTAATATTATAATTACTTTTATAAAATATATTTTGTTCCCACCTTTTTTCACCATAAAATTCAAAGCTGCTTCTCTAGGTGTTTCAGGAGGTGTCTCCAAACCAATTGACTGGCCCAATGTAATTTCTACAAGGCTACTTCATTATTAAAATCTGCTTGAAAAGAAACCAGACAATTCTACCACAACCAGGACCCTCATCTGTTAGAAATGAACGACAACCTCCCAAAGTAACTACAAGTTGCAACTGCAGGAAAGAACATTCCAAGCACCCCCCACGAAGTAGACCCTTCGCTGAAGTAAAGGGTCATTAGCCAATAGAAAATAAGAATGACCAACGAGAGAGCGGAGGCGCCGAGTGCCTCCGGGATGGAAGTCGCCCCCCACTGTCCAGGCGGCCTCAGATGTGCGAGGCTGGAAGATGGGAAACTGGGGCGGCTCCATGTGGGAGGTCGTCAAGGGGCGGGGGCTCAGGCAATACCGTTTTCGATTGTCGGAGGCGGCCACGCATGCAGCCCGGGGTTGGTTGTATGATGCGGAGTTCCATGCGGAGCGCTCGCGGCGGCTGGCGACAGACAATTATCGTTTTAATAAAAATACACATCCTACGGAGCGAAAGGGGGGGGGAAGGGTTGTCAAGGGGTTAAGGTTAGAATTCCCACTCCACGAAATTACGTTCAATTGTTTGCCGTGCAGAAATTAGGTGAAGAAATCATGCATCAACTTGATGCGCTACATGTGCTACTAGGCTGTCGGCAACACCACGGCTAAGGCGGCTGAACCCCTTCCCTTTTCTCTTAATATCCTTCTGAAGCCTCCTAAAATAGAAAATAAATGAAGTAAGTGTTTGTTTTGCGCAGCAACACTTCCCCACCATTTCTTACTTTGGCCACGGCTAAGACGGCTCAACCATGTCCATGAAAATCCCACGCGGACACCGAACGCGGTTCTCTGTAGAAGCTGCGGCGATCGCACAAGGACCACCCCAAAGCGCTCCCCTATGAAGCATGCAAGTAACGTGGAGAGAAGGAGGAAAACGAATAACAATACTTTTCAGTCTCCACCCCTCCACCCCTTTTTTGTTATCTCGAAAGCCCCATTCCAGCCACCCACCTCTGGAAATTAATGAAGCATTAAGCTACTGGTCTGTTAAGAGCACATGGGCACTTTTAGAAGTACCTGGAATTGCTCAGGCGCACTTCGGCTCTTCTGAAGAAGTTACCACTTGAGTGGTCTCCAGCAAGACAGGGGTTAAAAATACTTAAAAAGAAAAAGATGAAAAGCAAAGACCTGGTGAGGCAGGAAAAACAATGGAGAGTCTTTTCTATTTTTTAAAAAAAATTCCGCTTCCCGTGAAAATAAGGAGACACGCAGCAGATCCGGATTCGAAGAGTTCACATGGTGACAGGGGAGGTTGAGCTTCCACGAGCGGAGCCCAGCAGCCGCGACTGGGGCCACACAGGTAGTGGCAGCAGCAACTCCGAAGCTCTATCGCTGCCCCGCGTTCGCATCTTCCTGCCAGCCGGGAGGGCAGGCTACACCTTAAAGCGCTGAGATCCCCTCCCCCTCTTTGGGGAAAGAGTGAAAGAGGCGCTGCTAAATTTTCTGGGGCTGATCAAAGTCTTGCAACGAACAGTCTCCCGAGTGCAAGGCTCCGCGTTAGCTCTGCACGCCGCCGCTGCCGCCGCCTCTCCACGCAGTCCCAGTTTCTCTCTCTCTCTCTCTCGGTTCCTGAGCTCGGTTTGACACCAGCAGCAGGAGCAAAAGAGTTTCCCCCCACCTCGCCTCTACTTTTTCCCCCCTTTGGTTTCCCACGCTGGCTGAATGTGATTTGACCCCGTTTCAAAAAAGTTTGACATAGTGCTTCAACATTTCCGCATTCCAGCCAGACTACAAAGGCAGCGGCCGCCTTCTTCTCTTTTCTGTCTCTGCTCTCTGTCTTCACACTCAATGAAATCCTTCACGAGCCCTCTGCCAAAAGCAGCCGCATACCGCAAGGGTCGCATCGGCGAGCACAGCGCAAGAAGCAGGCGCCCCAAGGCCGGACGAGCACGCAGGCTGTTCGGTGAGGCGCGGGAAGGACAACCCAACGTGGGGAGGAGCATCACAACGCTCTCCTGGAAGCCTTCCGTGCTCGGCACTGTATAAATCTCAAGGAAAAACTGTAATGATGGGAACGAGCATTGTGGTCATGACGCCCATGAATAAGAATAATATGGTCGTGGAAGACCTTTAATCTGACTTTCCTGTGCAAATTTCATCCCGCATTGGGTAGCCTTTCAGTCCTTTCATCCGCATTAGATTCAGGAATGATATTTAATTGGTTTTAACAAAACACATAGTGTACCCCACAAATGAACCTCCAGGGCTCTTGCATATTGCAGTTGAGACTGGCTAAATAAAATATCCATGAGGCTGATTAAAGAAAAACATCCATAAATAGCCTCTTATCAGCAAAGTTGCTAGGATGCAGAATGGAGGATAGAAAAGACATAGGGAAACATTATTGGAATATATTTCCTTCTAATTTGAAATTACACCTTTTAAAAAAATAACGTTCTTTATAATATTTGAAATGATACCATATAGTGATAAGCTATGCAGAGGATAAAATCTCTCCTAGACTATATCCTATCAATCCAATTGAAAATAATTCTACAGTTGAAAACAGTGTAACTCAAACTCCTGCTGAGTTTAAAACCAAATTATATTTCCATAGTTAGAATAAACCACATTGGATCCAAGAGCTCTCCCCAGAAGGTATTTTTACAGTATTATTTTTGTTCTCTTTCTGTTCTGCTTTCCAATATTGTGTTTACTGATAGGCTAATTAACTATATGTTTAATCTATTCTAGGAACATTAATGCAAGTAGGGGCACTATTAATACTACATTAGAGTGTAGCATAGAGGATATGCAACATTAACCTTGATTTTCCAATAATTTACTTTTTGTGAAATTATAGTTGATAATATTAGATCTTCACCCTTTGACATGGTATTTCACTAGATAGCAAGGGTCTTGCATTGTTTAGCTTTCTCTTTTTTTCTGACATCTTACATATCATTAATTTTCCCCACAATGGGCAATTTTCAAACTGAATGCTGTTCTAGCCCAGTATGAACCTGTTTTTTTTAGTTGTGTACTTTTAAAGCAAATCGTGGTGGTGCTTGTTCAAAAGCACCCTCACCCAACTTAAATCTTATTTAATAATCCTATTTAATAATATTTAATAAAATGCTACTTAATAATAGCAGTCAGACATCTTTGGACCAAGCTACCAACAAAAAGAAATTCATTGTGCGCATTGGAATGTGTGTTTTCCACACACAAATCTTTCCAACTTGCATTCCAATGAGTATATTGTCATCTATGTGGCAATATACATCTAGTTTCCATTAACTTCGCTCAGCTTCCCTATACAGAAGATAAAAAGGTAGTAAGGCCTTAAAGGAAATATTTTCTATTTAGTAAATGTAATGCTGATTTAGTAAAACTGAGTGGATGGAAACAAAAGTTGAACATATAGAAACTGCTGGGAAAAGCATTCCAGATTTAAGTGAAAAATTGATTGGGGAGGGGGAGAGTCCTTGGTGCTCTTTGAACTTGATTGGAGATGTTTCATTCCCAAACTAGGTAACATCATCAGTACTAGTAGGAGTGGGGTTTGCTGTCACTTTAAATGCAAGTGGCTTGTCGTATCAGTGTTGCGGAAAGTGGTCTTGGTTGTTCCTTGATTGAGTTGCTATTTACTGTTAACTTGTTTGTCTGAGTTGGTATACCTTGATTGGGGTACTTGTTCTTTTTGATTGTTGATTGTTTCTTGATTTGTTCCCAATGCTTATTATCTGAGGAACACCAAGAGACTTTATTTGGTAACTTTGTAACATTATAAAAGCTATCATTAATAGATACTAGTACTTTAAGATGAACATCACCAGAGTTAATCAATGAACCAATCAATCAGAAAAGAGTTGGAAGGGACCTTCGAGGGCTTCTAGTCCAACCCTCTGCTCAAGCAGGAGACCCTATACCAGTGATGGCGAACATTTTAGAGACCGAGTGCCCAAACTGCAACCCAAAACCCACTTATGTATCGTCGGGTGCCGAGTGGGTGTGGCCCATTGCGTGGGTGTGGCTGTGGTGGTAATGGCAGACTGGGTGGGACTAAAAAGTTCAATCAATCAATTCCAACTTTGTGAGATCTTTTTTTTCCCTGCGAGAAGTTGAAATTGACTGATAGATTGAACCTTTTTTTCTTTTGCACACGGTGGTGGAGGCCTAAAGTGAAAACGTTTTATAAAACCCAGCTGAAGGCCTAGGACTGGGGCGACGGCGCGCATGCCCACAGAGAGGGCTCTGCCATAGGTTCGCCACCATGGCCCTATACCATTTCAGACAAGTGATTGTCCAGTCTCTTCTTAAAAACCTCCAGAGATGAAGCACCCACAACTTCTGATGGCAAGCTATTCCACAGGTTAATTGTTCTCTCTATTAGGAAGTTTCTCTGTAATTCCAGGTTGCTTCTCTCCTTGATTAGTTTCCAACCATTGTTTCTTGTCCTGCCCTCTGGTGCTTTGGAAAATAAGTTGACCCCCTCCTCTTTGTTGCAATCTCTCAAATACTGGAATACTGCTATCATGTCCCCCCACCAGTCCTTCTTTTCTCTAGAGTAGCCAAACCCAAATCCTGTAATAGTTCTTCATATGTTGTCTTCAGGCCTTTAATCATCTAAGTTGCACTTCTTTGCACATTTTCCATAGTCTCAACATCTTTTTAGTAACGTGGTGACCAAAACAGGTTGCAGTGTTCCAAATATGGCCTTACTAAGGCTTTATAAAGTAGTACTAATATTTCACATGATTTTGATTCTATGCTTCTGTTTGTACAACCAAGGATTATATTAGTTTTTTGGCTGCTGCCGCATACTGCTGGCTCACATTTAAGTGATCGTCCACTACCTCTCTCACAGTTACTGGTCCCTCTCTCACAGTTACTGTTTTTGAGCCAGGTTTCACCTAATTTGTACTTGTATCTTTGGTTTTTCCTGCCTAAGTGTAAAACTTTGCTTTTCTCCACATTAAATTTAATTTTATTCAAGTCTGTCAAGATCTTTTTGGATCCTGAGCTTGTCTTCTGGGACGTCAGCCAGTTACAGATCCATTTTCTTGTTATTTATATGTTGAAATAAACTTTTTAATTATCTTTGACTTTTGTTGCAAGTCTTTGTTCATTCTGAGCCTTTGTTTTCCTGACTTCATCTTTGCAGATTCGGGCTATCTGCTGATACTCTGCCTTAGTTATGTGTTCCTCTTTCCATTTTTTGTACTTATCCTTTTTATCTTTCCGTTTATCAGAGAGATCTTTGTGTAACCATGCTGTTTCTTTTTGGGGATTTCTTGTTTTTCTTTTTCAGTGATATTGTGCTGGACTGGGCTTTTATGATCATATTTTTCAGAGTTTCCCACACTTCTTGTTTTCCCCTTTAGGATTTTCATCTACAGAATTTTTCTTAGGCTCTCTCTGAGTTTGTTATAATCAGCTCTTTTGAAATTTAAGACACTGGTTGGATTATATTCTATTGCTTGTGTTTGCATTATATTGAATTCCAATATGATGTGGTCACTCTCGTTCAAAGTTCTGGCAACTTCAACTCCATCTATCCCTTCTCCTCTACTACTAAGAATTAGGTTCAGTATAGCTTTTTCTCTAATTCCCTCCTCTACCTTTTGGATGATAAAGTTGTTAGTTAGCTTGATTAGGAATCTGTTTGATCTCCCACTTGCTACACAGTTTGTCTCCCAGTTGATAACAGGGTAGTTAAGGTCTCCCATTACTACTGTAGTATATTTCCTACATATATTTGTTAATTGTTTAGCAAAAAGTTCATCTATTTCTTCTGCTTAGTTGAGTGGCCTGTTGTATATACCTATAGCAATGTCATTCTTTTTTCTTTCTGACCCATTGATCCATATGGATTCTAGGAGATTTTCATCCTTGAAGCTTTCTATAGAGATATAGTGATCTTTTATATATAATGCAACTCCTCTCCTCTTTTGTTAGGTCTGTTTCTTTTGAATAGTTTGTATTGTTCCATCAGTACATTCCAGTCATGAGTTTCATCCCACCATGTTTCAGTAATGGCAACTATATCATATTTACCTTCATGTACTAGTACAGTGGTGGTGAAGAACCTATGGCACGCATGCCAGAGGCGGCACTCAGAGCCCTCTCTGTGGGCACCTTCGCTCGAGCCCACCTCCC